ATTACCAAATATTTTTTCCCAAACTGTAGGTTCTCTTTTGTAGAAGTTTTGGAAGTACTGGCTATTCTTTCTTGATGGTAGTAAGATCCACCTTTCCACCTCTGAAGTGGAAAGCCTCATGGAATTTTAAGCCTAGTGGAATAGCAAAACTAACCAATCCCCACGTTAGGGTTGTATATACATTATTTGCATCACGCCACCATCACAAGGGGGCCATATACCTTACTTATATTACCAGCAAGGTTGGTGGACCACAAGCACTCACATTTGCGCAGTTCCACCTCATCTGGGGAGGAGTCACAAAGACCATGGCTAAAAGAACCATACTAAGTAATTCACTGCACCACATGTAGCATGTGTCAGTACTTCGTTTCTCTTTAAGACTGAGTAATACTCCATTGTATCCACATACCTTGTTTGTTTATCCATTCATCTATTGATGGACATTTAGTTGTTTCTATCTTTTGGCTATTGTGAACCAATAAACATTGGTGTATTAAGTTTCTATTTGTGTTCTTTCTTTCAATTCTTTTAGGTATGTACCTAGGATTACTGTGTCATATGGTTGTTCTGTGTTTAACTTTTTGAGGAACTGCTAAGTTGTTTTCTATGGCAGCTATACCATTTTTCATCCCTACCAGCAATGGGTGAGGGTTCCATGAAAAAGATTATCTTGAGGGTGGGGTTGTGGTGAATGTAGATAGGGAGAAAGTCCAAGAACTGGGCTGAGGGCATTCAACATTTACAGGCTGACAAGAAGGGGAACCAGCAGAAGAGACTGAGAACAAGTAACTACCAATGTAGAAAGAAAATCAAGAGAGTGTGGGTCCTAAAATCCATGAGTGAAAGGTATTTCAAGAAGGGTCAGTCTAGCTGAGTTAAATTCTGTTGAGAGAGATTTAGGAAGATGAAGATTGAGTTTGTTGGATTTGGCAAACTGGAAGTTACTGATACCCTAGACAAGGGCTACTTTATGAAGTGTTTGGAATGAAAGTGTCATTGCAGTGGCCTAAAGAGAGAATGGAGGGCAAGGAAGGTAAGGATGGATGTAGTGGTTCCAGA